CTGAGCCGTTGAGATGTACAGCGCACAATCGGCTACTGACTGGAATCCAGTCAAGAAGCGAGCGCTCAGCCTCGGCACTTAGCGCAATCCATACGAGGTTGAGGAGAAGAACTAGTCAGAAGGGAAGGGTCGTTTTCCAAATGGGTGCCTAAGACTTTTTTTGGCACGGCATACTTCGCGGTAGACCACACCGAAGAAGGGGAGTTTCTTTGGGAACTTTAACCGGAGCCTTTGACTCAAGAGTCTGACCCGCAAGGCAGCGGGAATTTGTGATGTTCCAGCCACAAACTGAAGACGTCGTGTTAAGTGAGAAATTGAAAACCTGGATCAATAACAACAAAGAAGTTATGGAGTGCCTGGGTTTACCAAGTTGCAATTAGAACTGCGTTTTACTCCGTACCAACCTTGCCTTCAAATGCTGCGAATAAGCAGCGACAATCAGAGGTACATTCATGATGCTCATCTCTATTCTCAAACCGGAGATAGCGCCAAGAACTTCAAAGTGAGTGTTACAATGACTCAGAAAACGTGTTTCAGAGGTATAAGATACACAATATACTTATACATGGCTCCAAAGCCAGTTGGACAATGTAGACGTGCTTTCGAGTAATTTGAAATAGTGCTGTTACCATGTTTGTTACCTGTATTCATTCGGCGACACACGGAATACGCCATTCAGGTATGGAATTCATGGTTGACCCGTGACAAGAAGGCTCTAGAACGTCCGCAAAGATTGGTGACAAAAATGGTTGAAGGTTTTTATAATAAGACATATTCTGAAAGACTGCCAAAATTAGCTCTTTACTCATCTCAATACCGTCGATTTCGGGGGGACATAATCTTGACATATCACATACTGCATCAACCCAATCACCCTGGTGGTTCAGTGTTGACTTTAAATCATTGCAGGGGACATCCATCGAACTTGAGGACCTAAACCAGTCACCTTGATTGCCGACATCACTCGTTTGCAGTCATATTGTGTGGTGTACGGAATTCCTTATCATCCCATGTTGTGTGTGCTCCTTCAGTCCAATTACTCAAACTGCAACTTGACAAAGCATTGGAGCACTAAACGTTTCAACATCTACGTTAGTGATCATGCATATTATTATGATTTCCTATTTGTAGTTATCTAAAAGATTCTGTAAAAATCCTGTGGGGCATGATAAAATTTAGCTTTGTTAAATCGCCCACAGTAAAACTGACTTTATGCATAACTTGAGTCCTACTGTAGGCGTTTTAGAGTGATCTTCAGCAAAACCATTTACTATTTCGCAAGTAAGGAAAAAGGGCCATGAAATTTCATATATATATATATATATATATATATATATATATATATGTCAATAAAGAACCCAAAAGAATGTAAAACCAAGGGCTGCCAAGTACTCACGATTTATTTTTCAATTTCACATCTATGCTGTCCTTTGTCGAGCTGTCTGGAGCTGACTCCAGTTCGATGGATAGTTCTCCGCCGTTGCATTCAGGCACGGTAGTAGACTTCATGGAATTGGTCGCCGCCGAAGAATGCACACGAAGCGGACTTAGTGCGGCAACCTCTTCCATATCACTCGCATCACTCGACTCATCCGATGTATTTACGTCTACCGTTTGTTTCTCCGGGGCTACAAATTTGATCGGATGAAAATGCCAGTTGAGAGGAAATTCGTCAGGTAGGGAACATTTTCAGCTTAGGTTATTGCAAACCAGTGAGTGTGTCTCCGTTACTTGTTACTTTAGACGAGAACAATTATGCCGATTATTTGATGAAGGGATATCATTGTAGTTGTCCGATGTTATGCATTTTGTCGGCAAGTTACCACCGCGGAAGGGGGGTCTGAACCGTTCATCTAAGCCAACACTTACCCATGCATGATTTGGTGTGGAACTGTTGAAACACAAGGAATTCGGGACGTTATGCCGTGGCGCAGTGGTTTAGTCGCTGTGTCTTGGATCCCATGGTCCGAGGTTCGAGCCCCGCCACTGTCACCCAACTTTGGTCGCTGTCACCCGGTTCTATACTACGCCTGGCCTATCGGGGCCTTAAGTGGTTCGCCACTCCAAGTCCCGGGGACCAGGTTACCGCTTACCATCACTGAACAGCAGGTCCTCGTGACTATGCGGGTTTACCCCGCCTGCTGTTCATCACACGAAAGTGTGTAATAAAAAAAAATAAAAAAAGTTGATTGACGGAAATTCGCCGTACAATGAGGGGCACCTTGGATACCTAATTAGTGATAAACGCAATATAAAGGTCGATCACTGGCCCCAATGAACGACCGTAGATACCTAAAATAAGGCGTCTAACCTTAGCATTACTTCTGTCCGGCTGCTCCACCAGACTAGTGCAATACGACAGAGACAGCGGCGTCCCAACCCCGACAGTCTTTTTTTATCCTTCTCCCTTAGTTGTTACGTCTTTGCACCGTAGAGCAGCACTGGCCTAACTGCTGCAGCATACACTCAGCGGCAGCACCATACAGCTTTACAGGTAGTCGGGTGTTGTGACGGCGCCGCAGATCCACAAATACTAATCGATATTTCTGTAGCGTGCCGACACTTCATCGGAGACGCGTCCGCCAGGTGAGCTATAGCAGCCCAAACAACAAAACTTGTTCATTTGCTCTATTACTTGCTCTGTTAGAATGAGGCTGGGTGCTGAACCAACCGAATCTTGTGGCAAGATTTTGCACTTTGAAGGTGCAAAACGTATACCAAACATGGATACGCTGGCACTCAAAATATTCAGAAAAGCTTGCAGCCTACCTAGATCTTCACTTAGCAGTACAATGCAGTATGCATACTCCAGATCAGACAGCTTGCCATCTGGGAGCAAATCGATGCCACTATCCTCGCACGAGGACACGGCTGTTTCAGGAATAATTTCAATGACAAAGTTAAAGCCCTAGGTATCTATTTAGAAAACCCACAGAGATTTCAGTGACACCGGATGACTCATGAAATCCCGATTTGATCTCTCAAAACGCTTCATCGAAACTCGTGTATTGATATCTGATATGCTCTATCCAGCACCTTCGTGTAGCACTGTGACTGACGGAATGAAGCCAGTAGTTATCAGGACCTACCGTTCACATCCAAGGATTGATCGTCCAAGCCATGGTCTTACAGTGCTGCGACGCATAAAGCCTCAATGGGATAGACTTAGTTTCGGGCTGGAAAACAGGTAGACTGCGCTCGATCGGAATTGGTTAGCAGTAGTATAGTCTGAACCTTGGACCATGAATCCGAATTTACTTCATTCAAAGTCACTTCAAACGCTCGAATGCCGAGACACATTTACGTGTCATCCCAATCTCACTTATACTGTCCCATCTAATGCAGAAAGCCACAGATATTTTAGTAGGGTTTTGCAGACACATGTGATCAATACGACTGCACAGCTAGAATAGTGACTATGTACCATGCTGAGCTATGCGGTGTGCGTGTGTCGTGCTATACAGTTCAGTTGTTCTACACAATGGTCTCACCCAGTCGACTTCTAAACGACCCGCGTAGTATTTTAACCGAGAGCGCTCTGTTTGGGTTTGGTGTTTAGGAAGAAGAGAGTTAATTTTTCACAGCACATCTCATCAAAGTCGTCAATGATCAATCGTTTGAAATCAGATGAGCTCGATTCAGCATAATGGACGACCTCTTCTGAAGTCAGATTTTGTTTCCTTCTTTTTAAGTCAAGTAGAGCTCGGGAACAATTTTAGCTGGCGATA